CAGATTGTTCCACTGGTTAATTGTTCTAACTGTCAGGAAGTTTCTCCTTAGTTCTAGGTTGCTTCTGTCCTTGATTAGTTTCCATCCGTTGCTTCTTGTCCTGCCTTCAAGCGCTTTGGAAAATAGCTTGACTCCCTCTTCTTTGTGGCAGCCCCTGAGATATTGGAAAACTGCTATCATGTCTCCCCTCGTCCTTCTCTTCGTTAAACTACCCAATTCCAGCAACCGTTCCTTATATGTTTTAGCCTCCAGTCCCCTAATCATCTTTGTTGCTCTTCTCTGTACTCTTTCTAGAGTCTCAACATCTTTTTTACATCGTGGTGACCAAAACTGGATGCAGTATTCTAAGTGTGGCCGTACCAAGACATTGTAAAGTGGCATTAACACTTCACGTGATCTTGATTCTATCCCTTTGTTAATGCAGCCTAGCACTATGTTGGCTTTTTTGGCAGCTGCAGCACACTGCTGGCTCATATTTAAAAGATTGTCCACTAGGACTCCAAGATCCCTCTCACAGTTACTACTATTGAGCAAGGTACCCCCTATACTATGCCTGTACATTTGGTTTTTCTTGCCTAAATGTAGAATCTTACTTTTTTCACCATTGAATTTCATTTTGTTAGATAGCACCCAGTGTTCAAGTCTGTCCAGATCCTCCTGTATCCTAAGCCTGTCTTCTGGAGTGCTGGCTATTCCTACCAGCTTGGTGTCATCTGCAAATGTGATGAGTTCCCCATCTATCCCCTCGTCCAGATCGTTGACGAAGATGTTGAAGAGCACTGGGCCCAGAACAGAGCCCTGGGGCACCCCACTACACACTTCCCTCCGTGTAGATGCGGTTCCATTGAGGACCACATGCTGAGTACGGCAGTCAGGATCTGAGATTACTAGGATTGCTAATGATTGACTCTGAGTAGTGGTATGTTATTTTTGTAAATTTTTACTTCCAAGCGGCCCTCAAACCTATCTTCTATATTGTTGCACATGGCGTCCTTCTTCTTCTTCTTGTGCCATATCCGTTATCGGACGTTGGCGATCATGTTGGCGATCCTGTTTTTAGCAGCAGCCACACGAAAAAGTGCTGCTGAGTTTTGTCCACAACCTTCAAAAGCAGCTTTTTGTGGGAATTCTGGGAAGTAATAGCAAACTGAAGACAGCTCTGCTGAGGGTGGAGCAGATGACTATGGTGAAACAAGGAGATGGTGAATGGATTGGCTTCTTGGAATTCCTCTTTGGATAAGGAGAGGACCTGGGATCATATACAAGCATTCCATATAGCAGCTCCCCACGAGGAGACTGTAAAACAGTGGTCTCTGATGGATTTAGAGCTCCAGGAGCCAAGGCAAAGCAAGTCTTTGCCAAAGCCACAAATATCATTTTTCCAAAGTCACAATCAATCACTAGTTTTGCATAGTTCCTGTCTTAATCATTTTTGCAAATTGCTTCACATTATGAACAATTTGAATATAAGAAATTATAAGAAATCTTCTTGTGGGAAAATGCTGTTGATTAGTAAAAAAACATATTAAGATGGGACTTCAAACCTTGGATACTAGAGGAAACAGGAAAGAATTAAAGATTATAATTAAAGGAAAATAGACCCACTAATACAGAATGGAGTAATACCAGATATGAACAAAAACTGTTTTCCTGGACAACCTGGTGATAAATCATATTTGCTGTAATGATTTGAAAAGGAAAATATGGCCACTGAGCAAACAGAGAAGGACAAATAATTCTGAGTGGTAGTGAAAAATGGTATGATCAAAATTGCGATAGGAATATAAAGTTGCTTCTGAGCTAAGGAGTAAGTTTTAATATTGTTGCAGACTGTCTGATGGCTGTTGGTTGGATCATCACTTAGTTTTGATTAAATATCTTACCTGGGATATTAATTTGTTAATAATATTAATAAAACAAAAAAAATTAATAATCCCAAATATTCATGTAATGAATGTTAATTGAAATTAATGGTTAGAAGAATGGTTATATAAACTAATCATCAACATTACTGTTGAAGATTTCCTTTGGGCAAATTATGTCTGTATATAGGGTTAATGTATGAGATCTGTGTGGGAAAGAATAAAATAAGAGTTTTGGAACTGAAAGAAATAGAAGCAGAATTTAGGCACCCTTAGGATGCAAATATTACAAGAACAGCCTAAGCATATACTGTAGTACTCTCTTCTCCAAAGATGCCTGACATACAATATGTAGAATTGCCCCGGGGACTTTTCATAGCAGCATTCATTGAACAATATTGGCAATATGCACATTTCTGAATTCACAGTTCTTAGCACTTTTTTATCTTTTGCTATTCATTTATTCTTGAATATATCTGTGGAACAGGAATTAGTTTCAAACAATTTAGATGATGAACAGTAAGTAGACATGTACACCAATGTTACTATTCTGTTGATTTTCTTCATGATGACACTTTATATCACCATTTTGATTTCTCCTGTGAAGCAAAAAAATGTTGAATTCTGATAGTACTATCTTATATATGCCACTTCAGAGTAAGTCTGACTGTAATCAATGGGACTTTGCCTGGATAAGAGGACACAGCATAGATCCGTGGTGGCGAACCACAGGTGGCACACAAAGCCCACTCTGTGGGCACATGCGCCATTGCCCCAGTCCTAGGCCTTCAGCTGGGTTTTATAAAACCTTTTCGCTTTAGGCCTCTGCCACCGTGTGCAAAAAAAAAAAGGTTCAATCAATCAATTTCAACTTGCGGGGAAAAAAAGATCTCGCAAAGTTGGAATTGATTGATTGAACTTTTTAGTCCCACCCAGTCTGCCATTATCACTGCAGCCACGCCCACCCAATGGGCCACGCCCACCCAATGAGCCACGCCCACCTGGCACACGATACATAAGTGGGTTTTGGGTTGCAGTTTGAGCACTCGGTCTCTAAAAGGTTCGCCATCACTGGCATAGATCAACATTTTGGTGCTATATGAGAATTTTCAAGAAACCATGGTGATGGATACTTTAGTATCAGGATATTATAAATGTAAGAAATTCTAAGTTGGAGAAACAAGCTTCCTGTGTAGCACAAAAAGTGATTTCTCATTATAATTTTTGGAAAACATATATTTGTTAAGAATCTATTTATTGCAAATAATCGAAATCTATGCAGTACACATGTAAATACTTAAACTTTATATGGAATCAGAAAGGAGCCTATATATTTTTATATGACTGTGCAGTTTATATTAGTATTATTGAAAAATATGCATGAGGAGTATGTTTAATATTTACATCCTTCTCAGAGCATTTAGTTTAGATTAGTTCAGAGTTTTCCAAGAACTGCAATGTGCCAGGACAAATTTTTGAAGTAATAAATCTGGCCTGTTCCACTTAGGTGTATTACTAGTATGTACATTTCTTCAATCATTGTTTCCTAACTTATTGTAAGATTTGGGATAGTTTGGCAATATCATTTTCTCATGATACATCCTGGAAGAAGAAAAAGCAAAATATTCAGGTTATTAGACTCTGCAAATTATATAAAATCCTTGTCAGAACTGAAGACTATTTATTCTAAAGGAGTATCAGTGTTTTACAATGCAGTTTTGCTGTGCTAGGGATTGTTAAACTTTGAGATCACATGGGAAGGATCCATACAATGGTTACTTTATATGCCAGTCTAATTGGTAGAGTGGTGATATGAGCACATGTCATTCCAACAATATGCCCAGGAAGATATGAAATTTGATTTTGATGCCAAATGGAAATGTTGGAACAGCAAAAATACATCTAAATAAGAAAACTGCTGGATGGGTGATTATTTTATTTTATTTAATTCCCAGTGGTTAAATTGCAGCATAATATATGTAGCTCTTTAGTCTATTATCATAATTTGAAAAACAAATTAAATTCAAAAGAGGAACAAACGCAACAAGAGTAATTTATACAGATTTTATAGCACATTACATTGTATTTAAATATAGTTTTGAGCTAGAGATTTTATTAACTTATACTAAAATATTTAGAAATTAGGTCCCTGCAGCATTTCTTCCTACTAATAGTGCTATGGTTTTTCTTCTATATTAATTACAGACTCACTTGTTGAGATATGCAGCTATAGAAATCAAAGAAATAAATTTAAAAAAATAAAAAAATAATTTTTATGATTACCATGATCTGATGCAACTTGTAGAAATGGAACTCTAATTAAAAAGAACTCTTTCTACAATATCTAATACCATTAATATCCTGCTAGATGGTCAAACAAATTGTGATCAAATATTTATATAATTTGGAAGAAAAGCATGTAGAAATAGAGATTAAATATTCTTACCTTCCATCAATAATCGAAGATTCTTTTGGTAATAAATGCAATGATCATGTAAGAACCTCTGTCAATATGAAGACTAAATATGCCAAATCTGAAGCATGATACAAGGTTTGCAAAAATCCTTCAGTATTTATTTTGGACATGCCTGACCTCCATATAACCCTGACGTCTCACAATATAACAAAACAAAACTAATTAAACAATACCATACAAGATAAATAAATAGGATGGAGATCCAGTCATCAACGCAAAACAAAGAATTTCATTCACGTAGCCCAAGACTTGGGAGGACAGCCAAGTCTTTAAGGGTTTTCAGAATGCTATCAAATGATAGCCACACAGAACTTCGGGGACATCCCATCCCACAGGACAGATGCCTTGTCTTAAATTAACCTAAAATTAGTTTATAGGACATCTTTGATTCCTCAAACAAAATGTATTGATATGTTATGATATGATTGCCTTATTCCTTAAGCCACAGTGCCTTAACCCACTGTATTAATCGTTGTATAAAGGTCCCCAAGCTCACAAAAATGCATTCAAAAATTACAGACTGTTTAACTGAAATATATATAAGAAATGCTATTTCATTTTGTTAATAATATCAATCAATTATAATTCTAATAAATGAAATAAAAAGCATGGAACAAAAATATAAATATTAGTCATATGAGACATTGAATTTTAACATATTAGTTTATTTTAATAGGAATTAGAGCAGTTAATTAGCACATGGGATAGAAATTCAAGTATGTTTATAAATAAATTTTGGGAACTTATTTATTGTTTAATGTTGATGATTACGGATACAAAAACTAAACATATTAAAATATTCATTTGATTAACCTGTTTATTTGGTCCAATTTTAACATTTCAAGGTTTGTTTGAACAAGCATCTCCTCATATTCATTCATCAGTTTTAGAAACTCTTCAATAGGTCTACAAAATGAAAAAGAGTGAAATGTAATTAACCATTTAGCTTTTTAGCTGTGAAAAACTCTTGTGTTTTAAATACAATACTAACTTCTTTTCTGTCATTTCATCAAGAGTAAAATTTCCTTGGATGCAACCCAAACACAATAAAAGAACATTTGATTGAAGGTCACACTATATTATTTTCACAAGCATTAACTATAAAATGTATTTTGGGTATATAGCAAGATATATACAAAATATGTACCAGATAGTTTTTTCAGAAGTTGGAATGTAGCTAACCATATCTTCAGTGTTTTCTTCTTGTTGGGCATCTAAAAAATTAGAAATATGTAGATCAGTAACATCTAGCTAAGTAAATTGCAGGGCACAATGTGCATGGTGACTTCCAGACCAGTGCTATTTCTGTAGACTAGAGGGAAGCCCTTTGTCATTATTTGTTTAAACCCCTTGTAACCTATTCCTTCCAACAGTCATCAACACATTCAATTGATCAGCAAGAGATATATGCCAACGGAAAGGGAAAGGAATGCTATAGTCATAGTTTTTTTGGCAGACCTCACAGAATTCAAGGTTATCAAACTGATACAAAATCCATCTTCTGTGATACAAGTGATTTTAGAAATATTGAGATAATTCAGAGCAATATATTATATCAAGTGAAGGTATTTACATCATTATTAGCATATATCTTTAATCTGGTACATATATTCCATTTTTTCTAGACAAATCATATTTTGAACACAATTTTGTCAAGACATAAGATTTATGCAAATATTATGATTGTATCTGTGTGCAACTGACATGACAATAATACGTAAAATAGATTGTAATGAAATTAGCTGAGCTCAAGCTTAAGAATCTTTAGCTCAATTTTTTATTAAATTATTAAAAAAAGATAACATTATACATTAAGCAGAAAATATTTATGCACTTGTCATAAAATATAACTAATAAGATCATATTTATTATTCCAATAAACAATGAAGGTTTTCCATTTACTATTTGAATTAATAATATGAAGATTCACCCAAGCACTGAGCACTACCAATAAAAGGTATTATGAAAATAAAGCCTACTGAAAAATAATTATGGGGAGTATAAACTAGAGGTCACTTCTCATATGAATCAGGATTGTAGCCAAATATAACTTTCTCTGTCAGTACTATTGCGGAACTGATAAATAACTCCTTGTGTTACTAGTCACCTGTAATTTTTATTAATAACTAATGAATTAAAAATAATAGGTCCTTAAGACCAGTTTGTTAAGTGGTTAATGTTTTGAAAAACAACAGAGAAGACCCAGATTCAAGACAAAACTGTGTCAAAAGCTTATTGAGTGATTCTGGGACTGTCACAGTATCGCAACATAATTATTTTACAGAATTGCTATGAAATAAATGGAAAGAAAAAAATTGTTTGGGCTCCTTGAGATCTGGGAAAGGAGAAACTCTTCTCTTTCAAGTAACAAGAAAAGCATTTAAACAATAAACTCCTGAACTTGTTTTCTTTAAAAAAAAAGTCTGTGAGAAAACTAGTTATTCAAGAAAACAAATATAATAAAAATATTTTGTCATGTTTCAAACCAATAATCTTCTTTATATAAAGCAAAGACTGTAACCACTATGCTATATTAGCAGTGCTGAAAAAGAGAGGTATAGAACTATTGGAGTGCATGGCAAGTACTATCTCATTTGAAATGGTAATACTCCTTCAAAGTAGTCACTGAGCTACTGAGGTTAATTTACAACAACCTGAAATGCTCTATTCCAAATGGACAGGAATGCTTAAAGCAACAAACAGATAAACGTACTTCAGAAATGGAGCAAATTGAGTAGGGATTAATAGAGAATGATACTGTTTGTTTTGTCCACCATTCCAATGATGGAGCATCTGGACCATGTAGATCAGGGCTTTTCAACCTTTTTTGCCGATTGTATCACTTTTAGGATATGGCAATATTCGAGTACCACCTAGCAAGGTGTCAAAAACTTGATGACCAAAAAAACAACAACACCTGTTCAAAGTTGCAATTGCACTGAAATGACTTATGACCATTTTTCACACTTATGACCATTGCAGCATGCCCAGGGTCATGTGATTTATATTTGGATGCCTGGCAACTGATTCATATTTATAACTAGCTGTACCCGGCCACACGTTGCTGTGGCTCTCGTTCACTCAGCCAAAAGATGGTGCTGTTTTTCAAAAAAGCATGTTTTTACCTGTCACAGGTGTGACATCTATATAATAGTAGGTATATAAAAACACGCGCGTATTCGAATGCAACATTGTGTCAAAATTTCAAAGCAATCAGTGAAGAACTTTCAGAGATTTAAGATTTTGAACAAACGAACATTTACATTTTTATTTATATAGATGGTCAGTGTTCCAGGGTTATGTGATCTCCTTCTGCAACCTTTTCACAAGCAAAGTCAGTGGCAGAGCTGCTGGTGGCCAAGTGCTAAGGCGGGACTTCCTTTCCTCTCTCCCTTCCCTGCCTCCCTTTTTCTCATTCCCATCTCCTTCTGAAGGAAGAATTTGAACCCCCTCCCCAGCTGCGTTTCTTGCCTGTTTTTCTCCCTCTCTCATCTCAAATATTTTCCCACCACTCTGTACTTAGGAAGGAAAGAAGGAGAGGGAGGGTCTGAGGGAAGTCCTGCCTTAGTCCTGCCCTGCTGCCCTTTCACCATCCCCTTGCCCCCTCCTCCTGGTCTATCCTGGGGTCTCCCATCCTATTGCTAAGGAAGCTTTGGATACAAAGCCGGGTCTCCTCCATGGAGAGGGAATGGGCCTCCCTCTGACTTTGCCCTCGTACCCATCATGAGCAACCTGGGTAAGGAGAGCAAGCACAGCAGCAGCAGCCTTGAGGAGGAGGTAAGTACAGCTGGGCGCCCCCTTGGGGAAGTGGGTCTGGGCTTGGTGCTACGGGTGCTCGAGGGCCAGGCTGGGCATTTGACCTCTGCTGTCCAGGGCTCCCAGCAGCCCACACCACCGTCCAGCCCCCCCTGCATGGCCTGAGAGGAACGGTGAGGATCCTCCAGTGGACCATGCCTTGGCACTTGCCCTGGTCACACCCCCTTCTGCCAGAGACCCTCAGATCTATCCCATTCCTGCCCAGGCTCACACAGGCACCCTTGACGTGAATGATGTAGAGCTGGCCACGCCCACCCAGTAGACCACACCCACTCCATCCACACCCACCCAGTAGGCCGCAGCCACCCTGGCCACACCCACCCGGTCCCCCGAGGGCAACCGCAATGCTGATGCAGCCCTCAATGAAATTGAGTTTGATACACCTGATCTAACTGGTCTAAACCCATTCACTGATTTCCTGCTGAGTTCATAAAGTCTAGCTCACTAATCCAAATCAGAGCTGTGGATATTGAATATTTCTGTCCCTGGGTCAAGGACCCTTTCTTTCTATCCTGTAGCTAAAATCATATCTTGTGTGTGAGGTTCATAGAGTAAAAACCCAACTATAAAAGGAAGAAGCAAAAGAGTCCAGAAAGTTGTCATAATAATCAGCTGAGCAAAACAGTTAAAGGAATTCTATTATCTGTGTATAAAATGCACACGTTATCTACTTTCACTCTTTCTATACATATTGGTTGTCATAAATGATCTTTCCTAAGCAAGACTTAGATAAATTTATGAAAAGATAAATGATTGTGTAGTTTTAAAAGATTTTTTTTCCTGGCAGGTAAGAAAACTTTGTTTTGGGGTTCACCAATATAAAAGCTTCATTGCAAAATATTTTTCAGTTGCAACAGCCCAGTCAGCAGGAGGAGCAGCAGGAGCTGTTTGGATTTCAGAATTTGTGCCTCTAGTGTTTTCCAGTCCACATTTGAATATTTCTAAAGATGCAGATACAAAGAAAATGAAAGCTGTAAGGCTGAAGCGCTGCTCTGTTCTCAGAATCACCTGTATTTGGTTTTAATCATTCAGGGTTTGTCATAACAACTTCTATTGTTCTGTAGACTTGTCAGCCATTATAGGCTTCAAGGTTTCCAGGGTGTTCCACTCACATTTCAACTCCTTATAGATTAAAATGTAATGGTTCTCCAAACATAGCAATTGCCCAATTTGAGATTATTTTTTTTTAAAAAAATGGGAATGTAAAAACAAACAAACAGGAAGCAATACAAGAAAAATTTAAATACATATGTTTAAGAATGCAACCCAAATAGTTTTGAAATTATTTTTAAATACGTGGACGTGCTTTTTTTAAAGCACATCTTACAGTTGTATTAAATGATCAACTTTCTGACAGTGCAGAAGTGGACAAGCACAACTAATGGAATAATAGCCTGCAGGGTTTAGCTAACTGATATTCGAATGTAATCAACCTTTGTGATGTCTATTCAGAAGCAATACCCTTAGATTTCAAGTGTAGCATATATTTCAGCACAGCAAAACAAAACTGCGTGAAGAAAGTCTCTGCAGACTACACAGATACAATATGGTCTTCATATCTCTACAGTGAGTTTGTGTTCATTTTGAGGCTAAATGTAAGGTAATAACTACTGTATATTCATGTAAGCTGAGAAAAACACATTTGATTTGTTGAAGAAATGTTATTTTAGTTACCAAGGGCCCTATGCTGTAATTTTGACACACTTTTTAATGCAATTCATTGTGTCTTCTTTTTTTAAGAGAATGTGCCAAATAAAGCTCATCTACTTTATCTTCTAAAGCATTTGTTTTCAAGTTATTAATAATACCGGTACTTATAAGCCTAGTAATTAATAGGACACAAAATACTGATCAATAGAGAATAAAGTTAGGAACATTATTCTGGGTAGTTTTCCTATCCATTGAAATTCATGAGAATTGTACAAAGCCCAGCTGTATAAAAAAAGAAAATTTCTGTGTGAGGTGGTGGGTATGTTTGTTCCATATTTTATTTTATTCTCTTGAGCTAATGAAAAATAGAAATGCAATAGGATATACAGTTCTTGTCATCTGAATTATGTCAATCCTGGTCATGTTCTATGCAATGTATTAAACATACATTCTATGTTAGTATGATATATATTAGTATAAAAATATCACGTATATGATTTGCATCTATGCTTATTGAAACAATAACTCAGAAACTAAGAAATGATGTAGTCTACAGTGAGGTAAATTGAGTTATATAAAATGAATGTCAAAATCTTAGATGTGGATCTATATCCTCAAATAAAATACATTATAATATATTTTATAAAAGTACCCTTAGTTATTGTTTTAATTTCTGTTAAAAGCTTTTTGTGTATAAGACTTGTGTGCATAATTTTATGACGATGAAGAAATTATGTATGTTTGTGTT